CTAATAACTAAACATAAAATTTGCGAGAGATTGAAAACAAAACGATTTCCTTCTGTGATACCTTATCAGATATATAAAGTAGGTCAAAATAACGTTTTAGGACTACATTTGTTGTGGGTTCACCACCGCGTCGATTCACTGTGATACATTGCGAAAACGTACAAGACGCCCGCTGGGCTGGGCGGTGGACGGCGTTCCTTCGTCGGTTTCGCATCGGAACTTTCAGACTAAATGGTAGAGTAATCTCTAGAGTTAAAAATTATTTGCCGGGCTCGCAGCGTTGAATGTCTAGATGTAAGTCTACTTTATAACTTCCCGCCCTGTGTTGCCGCGGCCCTCAAGTTTGTGCGCCAGCGACGCGAACAATGTTCAGTCTAAGGTCAATTGAACCGTAGAACTAGAAGGGTCATTAGAATTTAGATGGCAAAGTAGAGTCCAATTCCACTTGATCAACTTAAATCAACTTAATCCAATTTTTTGTCGTATGGAAAATGTTGGATAATTATCAGTAAGCATCATCAACTCAATAGAAACTTCATATAGCGACTTAGTCCAAAGTAACTTACTCCCTTAGGCTAACTGATTAAGAAGAAGCGAGTCACAAGAGAAACAAGACTCACCCACTGAGGTCTTTTCTTTTTGTAAAGGCAATGTAAGCGGACTCATTACTGCGTTCCCAGGAACAGCAGCCTTCTTCCTTTCCAATAACACCACGGTCCTCTAAAAAGCATGTTTGCTGTAGTTCATACTGTAACTTAAACCCCACAGAACAAGAAAACTGAAGCCCGTTATTGTTCGGTTGATCAATAACTAACTTGGTAACTATTCATTCACAATTTTCTCACCTTCACGTTTACATGAATCAACAACGAAAATTTGAAATAAATCGAATCTTGGCGCAGCGAATTTCAATCATAAAAAAGGTGGAAAGAAGACACCCAAATACAAAAACACTCGCTTAAATTACCCGGATGCTTAACTTACGGCAAATGGGGTACGAAATCCAGCGTAAATCTGTTACTAATATGTAAGATGAGACCACGCGCGATCACAGCTATACTCGTCAACTCAAAATAATTGATAAGGTACAGACATAATAAATACTGACCAATCTGTAGTTTTTAAGTCCATCTTGGTAGGTGTAAAAAGAAAGAAAACATTTACGCGTCCAGTCGTCAATTCTTGATCACAAACGATCGCACTTCGTGCACGAAAACAAACTCCACCACCCCTCCCAGTGTCACAGCGACGACTCCAGGGGTGTGAAAAGGCGTCAATACGCATTAATGTGAAATATGTATTGCCAACCCAGAACAAAGCTGGAGCGGTTTCTTTTAGTAGTAATTTAAAATTAAGTAGTTTTAGTAGTAATTTAAAAAGTGTTTTATCAGAATTCTTTCAACAAGAATGTAACATGTCTTAACGTCAGTAAACGGCCTTCGAGCAAGTTCCTGTAACGAATGTAATCCGTTGGCTACAGAACAGGAATCTTCTCTCCAATCCACTTAGCTGCACACAGTGTAATAACGCAATGGATATGAAAGAAAGAAACGATGGCCAAGTGGACGGTTTTCACTGGTGAGCCAACAAAAATTCACTTTAAATATACTATTGAAGTAACTTTATTAGCAGAAACGACATCGGAATAGGCGGTCGAATAAGGGTAAAATTAAAATATTGCGGCACCAATGACCGAACACCTCGAAACAAGTACAATTCGCGGATTCAGTAATATATGTTTCTCCTTTTTCCGTTTTTCGTTGAGTACGCGGCACACAAAAGAGAATGTGCAATTTTTTTTATCCAAAAGCTAAATAGGTCCTCCTAGTAAGTATAGCTCGTTTCAAACAAATTCTGCCCCCAGATGAATACCGTACAAGCAGTTTTTCTTCGGTGAACTCGCATTTCTAAAAGAATGCTTCTTTCTTTCTTTGCAAAAATTATTTCCAAATTTTTTTTCTGTCAAGTCAAAGTTGGAGCAAGTAATTATATCGCAGTCTGATAGTTCAATTTTGATGTGGTTGAATAAAACTAACTATGGCTCTTGGTTTCTCTAGTCGAAATCAATGGAACAAAACATGTTCACAATTCCCTCACAAAGTATCTTCTTGATTTTTTTTTGGGGGGGGGGATATGCGCAAAATTGTTTGAGACCGTCTTACTACAAAGAAAAGATACCTTATGACAAAATGGACTCAAAAATAAAGCTATTACATGTGATAATTGGATTAATAAACAAAGGCAAACAAAGGCAAAAAAGCTACGAATGGTCGTGCCATTTTTTTCTTACGCCTGTACGTGGCGTGCAAGTCGTGCGGATCATTAGAACCATTTAAAACTTTTCAAAATTGTAAGAAACTCTTTCTTTCCTACATCGCACAGGCGCTGCAGTGGATGCCGAAAGACTTGAATGAAGTCTGCAGTCCAACAGCTTCTTCGAGGAGTTCCCACGAGTGCCTTTTGGTAAATTACTGCTCACAACTTACTTTTTTTCTGAAACAAACGAGGGCGGATAACCAAGCAATACGAAATTCGGCCTTTAAGAACCGTCCTTCCCAGAAAGATGCAATTAGCTATTAAGAAAAGCCTTCAAATACCATCTGTTTAGAAGGTGCGCTTCGAAGCTCGAAAGAGTGAAATAATCAGTCCAGCTCATCGAAAGGATCGTTGATAGTATGGAAGATGATCTCAATGCCTTCTAGGACAGCTAAATAAAATGAATTAAATTCAGATGTTTACGAAAACGTAGCCCTTTGAATTTTACAAACTTTTATTGTCCACTGAATTTTTTAAAAGACAATTACTTAGAATTGACTGCATTTTTTGGTTTCTGTGATATAAATATACCCACAATTTTACATAAATCAATATCTAACTCTGCGCGTGAAGAACTCAACATCTCAGCCACTATGATTCAATCACGAAATTTTATGGTCATGAAAACTATTTTCGTATTAGGTCCAAGAGTTCCCATCTAATGAGAAAACCTGTAATACTACAATTGCAGGTCCCGTGAAAAAGGCTCCTTAGGGAGGCAAAAAATGTAAAGCAGGGGCGGATCAGGGGTTCCAAATCCTCTCCCTGCCCCATCATCAGACCTGTGCTTTTTTTAACTGCCTGTCTCACCCAGTTATTCTTGCACGTTAACGCTTAATATGAAATATTTATCATTTTGTCTTGAAAAATATTCTCAGCTTGATTGGACTAAAGCGTAAGGGTTGGTGCTTTATGAATCAAAATTTTCAAGACCACTCTTTTTCATTTAAAAATGATGAAATATCACGACAATAATTTGGTAACATACATTTTTCGCTGGTTTAAGTTTAATGATTTCTTTTTGTGATTATGTTGCAGTTCTTTTTAAGGGTATTCTAAATTTTTTACGTCTGTCACCTAACTACTTTACTTCCCAAGTTGAAAGGCATTTCACTAAAATTTCCTGTTCTTGTCTCCGAGGCTGACATGACCAATTTGGCAATTATCTTTTATAGTAAAGGTAAAGAGAATGTTAACTGTCGTTTGTATATCAGCTTTTAATTTGTGTAAGCGTTGTGAGAACTGTAGGTCTTAAAGTAAACGCTCCGATAGGCCCACACGGAAGAAGGGAGGGGATGGTGGAGGGCCTCGAAGAGCGAGGTGGCATTTTAAGAACTCGGATACCACGCGAGGTATTTTTTTCTCTTGCTCAGTGAACACGGTATATGGTATGTTCTGCTTTAATTTGAAACCCAAAAATTTTAAAGGAGACACTGATCTATTCTAAGTTTATTGCCAAGTGTACAGCAATCAGCAATTGTGATTAAAGTTACGAAAACAAAAAAAGAAAAATGCCCAAAGGTATTGGAAAATGGTCAATCTAAAATAAAGTTAAATGATTCAATTAATTATATTTTACTAGAAAAAACCAGTAGCAGATAGTTGAATAATTTTTTTAGTACAAATTGATACTTTCTGTTATCTCTCTCCATGTTTTTGTTGAACAAGTTATTTACCGAATCTCAAATCAGCAGATAAATAATTTTCAACTAAGAAAATGAACAGACGTATTTTTTGATACTTCATTGAAAGCGGAAACCAATTAATCTTCAAAGAGTCTTCTGAACTTTTAATCAATCTTGAAATCACTCCATCATTGTAATTACAACACACAAAGAACACATCCGACAATCAACTAAATACCCCTAAGCAATCAGAACCCCTACATCAATCGACTTGTACTTCTTGTCACAAGGCACTAGCACGTTTTGAAATGATGTCACCACAGTAATTCTAAATTGGTAAGTTGAGCAGGAGCATTCAGAACACTCTCTGCATTCTGTTAATAACATTTTAGTCATGGCTATTGTTAGTATGAGCTGGGCTGTTAAATCAATTAAAAAATAATTAGAATGTTCCAAGCTCTCGGATCGAACAAATGCTTGCTTTTCTTTTTTGTTCTTTCCTGCAAAATCAAAACAACCTCGACTCCTTCACTATTTCTTTACTTTACGATATGATGAAATCATATAGATAGATGAAAGTGTAATACGGTTTCTTGTTTCGCCATTTAAACCCTTGTAATAAATCACTGTCGTAGTTGCTTCAAGACCGTGCAATGTTACTTCCATGGAGGAGAATGGTTGGGCGAGTAAGGACTTTTTGATCAATTCCTTAGAGGTCAAATGGAACGCTCCTTAAACGCATCGTATGGTGGATCTCTTCGCATCTGTAACTCAGCTTGTGGTCACGATAAACTTTTCAGCACTCCAACGCTGTTCTATTGATATCCCAGTGTTACAAATTAAGCCGTGAATCGCTAGTTATTGCCTTGTATCTTTCCAAAGGTCAGCTGGTGTCTGTGGAAAACTAGGTTTTGTGAGAAAAACATACCTGCGTTTCATTTTTTTATTTTGCAGTAAAAATCATAGGTTCATTGATCATACAATAAAGTTATATTTATTCATTAATTTATTTATGAATTAAGATATTTACATATTTATTAATCTTCCTATTTATTCATCATTTCTTTATTTCCTTGAGAATTCAATTAAGAAATAATCACTGTTATCAGTTATTGAGATCTATTTATTTCTTTATTTCATCTTTTATTAAACAATTATTTTTGTTTATTTTTAAGTTATTAGGTAACCTTTTATTGAGGCATCATTTAAAAAGACCTGTGTACGACATTGTAAGTAGACGCTCTTCATTGTGTTAGTGCGACAACTGAAGACAAGACTGGACTGAAATACACTTAATTGGACTTAGATGTGGGATTTTCCGAACAACACCTCACTCGACTGGACGGGACCGCAATGTACTAGGTTGTTCCTAACTTGACTGAGCAGGACTGCATTGTGCTGGACTCCACAGCAATTGGTTGTTCTGGACTGGACGGGACGGGGCTGAGCTGATACGGATTGTACTGCTCTGCACTGCATTTGATTGGGCTAGACTCGACTGCAGTTGATTTATATGGACCTGGGCTATGCCGGATTGAAATGCATTTAACTGGAAAGGACTGAATGGAGTTGGGCGAGAATGGACGGGACTGGACTCCACTAATTGGATTGGACCGGACTACACGTTAGTGGACTGGACTGGATGGACAGCACTTGAGAGGACTAGACTTGATGGCTCTGCACTTCACTGGACTGGACTGTCTTAGCCTGAGCTTGACTTCACCATACTGCGCTACACCGCTCTACCCTGGATTTAACTGGAATGCGCCATACAGGATAGCCAGTTCATTGCACGTCATCACCATCATTGCACCGAACTGCATTGCACGCCTCCAAATGACTGTACTGCACTGCATGTGGATGTACTCCAGTGGACTAGATCACACAGCAGAGCTTTGCACAGCACTGGACGTAACTTGGAAGGACTGTTCTGGATTGCCTGAGCTGCAATGGAGTTGATGGCAATACATTAAACTACACTAGACTTGTATGCAAAAGACTGCTAATAAAAACTGATAATATAATGATGTTTTGAGAAAAGATCAACTAAACCAAATTGTATTACTAAGTTTGTTTCAGTTTCAGTTAGTCAAGACAATTCGTGTTTTGATGATACGAAATGTAACCGGCTAGGGAAACCGTGTTAGTTGTCTTTGAATTGTCCCATAATTAAATACTTACACTTAAACGTCATCTGTGATCTTTCTGATGGGCTGCTGATTGGGCCTTGGTCAAAAACACTAGCTATTAAAGTTTTTCTCCACTGAAGACAAAACTGTTAGGAGACAAAGAAAGTGTTAAAATATTAAACACGTCACATTGCGAGTTGTTAAACGATGTCATCGAACCATTTAATCGGGAAGCCACCTAACAAATTCTGTAAAGAGAAAATTTCAGATAGTCCAGAACCAAGAATAATTCTTACCAATGATTACACATTACCTTTGAAGCGTTCGATGTGCTACTTCTTTATGACGTGATCCGAAGTGAGCCTCGAGGACATGCTGAGAAGAAAACATCTAAAAAACTTGTTGCAACCAAAACATGCCGGCCTTACCTCTTTCAGATGACCTCAAGTGCTGATCGACGATAACTTTTTACTCCAACTGCTCTATGCAACGCATCAGGGTTTTCCTACGAGCGAACGAACCCACCTTACACAGATTAGTATCACAACGTCATAATAATTCTTTTCTTACCTTGTCATTGATGCAAAGCCCCTGAAAATGGGCTGGTCTTGAGCTGCAGAAATTTAAAATGTCTCAAGCTCTTAAATCGAAAAAGAAATGCCTGCTTTTCTTGTATATTCATTCTAGCAAACTCGAGACAACGCTAAATCCTATACTAAACTAGACTATACTATTCTATACTATACTTCCATCACACAGAAATTTAACGTACCTGTGGTTATATCCCAGCTTTGGATTCTCCTCGAAGTTGTAGCGCAGCTTGCTGTTATGAATATCTTCTCGTGAAGCACTCCAGTCCTGCTCTACTGATATCCCAGTGTTGAAATTAGCCATGAACCACCGGCGACCTTTTGATTGCTTGTGTTTCCAAAGGTCAGCTGGTGTCTTGGGAAAGCTAAGTCTTGTGAGAAAAAAATATTTGGAAAACTTTTAAGAAAACGTCGCACTTCAAAAGAACACCGTTTTTTTTTTAATTGAGCTGTTCTAGCTATACTCTTTATCACCCGTTTAAGAGCATTTTTGTTAGAGGTATACAATCTGCTTTGACTATCACTTACTTCCATTACGACTGAAGACTGGACTGGACTACGCTTAAGTGGAATGGACTGGACGGCACTGTACTTCACTAGATCGGACTGTCTTAGGCTGCGCTTGACTTCCCCCGACTCAACCACACTGCAGTACCCTGGATTGAAAAGGAAAGTACCATACAGTACAGCAGTTCACTGCACTTCACCGGACTGATCTGCATAGAACTGCACTTCACTTTTCCAGATGCACAGTTCCCGAAATGGGCTTGTCTTGAACTGCAGTAACGCGATTTTCCAAGCTCTCAGACAAAAAATGCCCTCCTTTCTTTCATATCCCTTCTTGCGAACTAGAGACAACCTTAACTCTAATGCTTTACTTTACTATATAATACTTTTGTAAGTGGAAAACAATCCTCTTCGACTAGCTTTCAATCCATTACTCAGAAATTTAACGTACCTGTGGTTATTTCCAAGCTTTAGAGTCTCCTCGCAGCTGTTGCTCAGCTTGCTGTCAGGATTATCCATTCCAGTCCTGCTCTAATGATATCCCAGTGTTACAAATTCAATCACTAGCGACCCAGTGATTGCTTGTGTCTTGGGAAAACTAAGTCTCGTGAGAAAAAATACTCGCAAACTTTTAAGAAAATGTGGTATTGCATTTTAATATTCTGCAAAAAGGATTGTTTATACATTGACCATACGATAAAATTTTATTTATTTATCAATTTATTTATTTATCAACTTATTTATGGATCAATTTATTTACGTATTTATTCATCTCCTTATTCATTCATCATTTCTTTAGTTCTTTAAGAATTAATCAATTATATTAGTTATTAATATATATTTTATTTGCTCAATTTATCTTTTATTGCACAATTGTTTTTGTTTATTTCAAATTATTGGGTTTACACTTGTTAAATTATCAAGCGAACAAACCCATCTTAAACAGATCAATATACCAAAATTATAATTCTTCACTTGCCATCTATGTGACGCACAAGTCCTGAAAATGGCCTCCTGTTGAGCCGCAGATATAGGAAATTCAAAGTAAAAACTTTGAAAAGTTTTGGTCAGTCCCCGAAAATGGACAGAGCGAAGTTTTGAAATCTTTACCTTGAAAGCCGCAAGAACAGTTTGCACTCGACAATGGATGACTTTGGCTAAATTCAAGACAACTTCCAAACCCTCCGAGAATGGGCGAACGCACAGTTAACACCAAGGCGACTTTGATTCCGGGGCTTTTTCATTGGCAGATTGGGAAGTCATTGAAACAATCCAGTTCACCATTCGAGAAAATACCCCGAAATTGGCAATTCAAGCCTCCGAAAATAAGTAGGATTTAAAACTAGTTTCTTAATAAAGGAAAGACACGGAGACGCTCGTATTTTAATTCAATTCTTGAGACAAATTTACACAGGGTGCCACAAAAAATGATACATATAAATTTGTGTATCCCAAAAATAAAGAAAAGGGTTCGGCATTTTATTTTCTAATACCATATTATATCAATAAATTTACTTAGATTTTTCCAAATTACTTCACAGAACCGAGCAGAAGCAGACGCGCACCTTAGACGAAAAATGTGGCGTCCACAAAATTCCGAGTTTTCCGTGTCAGTAATGTCGACATCCCGATAGTTTGAACACCTACAGTGTCCCAGACGGTGCTTTAATTTTTATATCAACTTGCTAACAACTTTCAGTCGCTTCCCATTGCCTTTGTATTCCGAACTGAAAATCCGAACAAGTTCCGAAAGGCCGAACGAAAAGCTTAAGTGACATTCGAACCGAAAGTGAAGCCGAACCCAGTTAGTAACACGATCTCAATTTTCATCAATACATGCGTAATCTTTTTTGTAAAAGGCTAATTCTCAACTCTTATTTGCTGTCATAGCTGAATTTCTTAAAGCCGATTTCCAATAATAACGTTAAAATCTGGTTGAACCTTCGAGCTCAACTTTTTTTTTATGTTGAACAGTCTTACTCGATCACAGCGTTTAAGATCCCTTCAATCAAGTGAAACTGAAAATGTAATAGGCCACAGTCGAAGTAACTATGGGGAAAGACGTGCGCTTAAGTTAATGAGCAGCTGACTAACACCGAAAGACCTGTTGATGAAGAGCCGAAGTATAAACGAAGCCGATATTGTGACAAACCGAAGAAACGACGAAGAAGAAACGATCCAAACCGAAAATATGCCGAACAGTATTCGATTGAAAGAGAAATTTTAAATTTGGAAGGAGGACCTCGCCCAACCTCAAGGGAACCCGCTAAGCTGAATAAAGTTTTTACTTCGACTACTTTGAGCCGAATCAGAAGTACGACAACTTCTAGTAGAATTTGGATTTTATGGTTTAACAAGCGCACTATTTATTTAACCCACAAAGAATCTTACTAACTGGCCGGACATGAGCGTCTTCTAACTGACCTGTACCCAGCCTCCCCGTATGCAACAGAGAGGAAGGGAAGAAAAAAGCTGATGGAGCGTTGGTCCTTTTTTTCACCACGCTTTCTCGATCATATGCGAGTTATACTGGTAACGAGAGTCAGCACTTGTCTTGTGATGATGGACTGGACCACTTGGAAAGGAATGGCGCGGACTGGACCGGGCCGTACTGGGCTGCATGGAACTGGACGCTAAGTTTTGGACTAAATGCACAATGCACTAAACTCCACTGAAATGAAGTGAACTGGACTAGCTGGAATGGAATGGACTGCGCGGTGTTTGGACTGGAACGTGTCGTATTAGCCTAATGAGAAAGATATTGTGGATGAAATAAATAATACGGCAAAACATCATGGCCCATTGTGGAAGGGGAAACATTGCAAAATAATCATATTCTAGGTCGCAACCATCGCATATGTCAGAAGAACTGAATAGGGATTTTCTGTTCACCACTTTTTGCTGAAACATTGCAAAATTTGGTTGGTCTACACGCAACACATTTAAGTCATTTTTCCAGAGTCACCATCGGGAGTAATAAGATCGGAAAAAACTGTTTAATTCGAGTCACTCCTTAACCCTTCACAGCTTTACATCAATGTTTTTACTCTCAATACTGTTCGCTATACATTTCTTAAGGAGAATGTGTTTAACTATCATGACCTTCGTTTGTTGGTGATTATTTCCTTTATTCTTGTGCGACTTTAATTTGTCATTAAGGGTGAAATTGCAACGAGAAATAAAATGTTAGTAATTCCCAAGTTTTTAAGATTTCCAAAAAAATGACCAATGTCTGGGAACAAAACCCCCTTCAAATTGCTAAATATCAGTTCACCTGGAGTCATGCCGAGTAAACATCGAGGCGTACCTTAATTTTTCCTTGCGAAATTTGGAGAATCTTATTGTAGGATTATATTTAAACATTTTCAGATTATCGCTTAATTTCAAGCTCAGAAAGGAAACAAACAAACAGACAAATGAAATCTTGTGCAAATTGTGGCGATAACAACCAATCATGTAAACAAGATTTGAATTCATTAAAAACTACTGACATAAGAGGGCTTTTTGTCTTTAAGTCAAGTCATCTTTCTTTAGGTAGGCTGGCCCCATCTGCCATAGGCTGGTATCAAAAGGGGCCCCTTGTAAAATTAAGAGTATATGATAAAATTTGTCAAATTTACGAAGTACCTTAATGTACAAGGAGTTTAAAAATTCGAGTAAAGGGAAATTACATTTCCATGAAGTACAACTTTTTTAGATCAATACAATAAAAAAAGCAATTAAAGCATGTCTAAGTATTATATTAATAGAAAACTAATGACTAAAATGAAAACTAAGAGAGTTCTTAAAAATGGAAAGCGACGTGGCTTCTTTTACTGGTGTGGGTAAGTCATTAAGAACAACCGCGCTGAAAATCTGAATGTATTTTTCCCCAACGTTAAACTTTGGGTTCGGTAAGTGGATGTCATTCCTTTGACTTGTCGCGTAAGTGTGAATGGTGTGATTTCTAATGAAATAATTCGATAAAAATGGAGGAACTAAGTCATTCATATATTTATTTAAAAACTAAGATACACTTGTGGGCTGTTTTTTGTGCTTCCAAATCGACCCACCCTAACATTTTGAACGCTTCTTCGGTCGTTGCCTTCCTTTGTATTATGTGTGCTGCCCTGTTTTGTAGACGTCGGATGCATGCGATTGACAACCCACCCCATACCGTATCAGTGTAATCTGTTTAGTATTGGCTGTACTAAACTACTATACAAACAATTAGCAGCTTTTAGGGCGAGGAAAGATCGTATGCGGGACAGCAGGCCGAGATGCTTGCTCACTTTGTTACAAATCAGTTCTACATGCTCGTTCCACGAGAGATTCTCGTCTAGTATAACCCTTAAGCAACAAAAACTTGATACCCTTTCAATTTCTTTCCCATGGAGTTGTACACTGTGGTCTGAACAATGTTCTAGTTATTGCCTAGTACCAAACAGCATTCATTTAGTCTTATTCTGATTGAGTACGAGCCTGTTGCTTACTTCCCATTTTTCGAAATTGTTTAGATCGTTTTGTAAA